AGATATGCCACCGAGAAGCTGGGTTTCGCTGGAATGTACGGACCGCTCCACCAGCACACAGCCACCTCGAAGCTCCTTCATATCAATTCGCCATAGCCTGGAAATCCGCAAAAATGAGAAAGCGTGGATCTTGGGTTAGTGGCGAAGAAATAACTGTATCAAATGTAGCGGTCGAACAATCCAATATAGTAAAAAGAATGCAAAAATTTGAATTTACCTGAGTACCATAACATCCCGTGTCGGATGTGATGGAGTATCATTGATAACATACTGGAATAAATCGCAATTCTCGACATTCAGCGTTGCAACTGTTCGCCAGTTTATCGTTTGTGTATCCCAGAGATTCCTCAAAAAATAAATGCTCACGGTGTTTTTGTGTGCAAAATCTACGTATATTTCACTCTGTTCATGTGTAGAGAAGAGATTTAAGAGATATTTGCTTTTAACAACAGCAACCACTCCACAGTAGCAGGATTTTGGCGTAGAAAAATATCATCTCTATGAAATCTTGGTAAAGATGAAGCATTTCCAGCGCTTTTCCAAAAAGCACAACTATCGAAACGTTTGTCTTCAGTATGCAGAAATCGAAATTTATTCACATTTAGTCACATGTTTTATCAAGCAGACAGAGAAATCATGAAAGAAAAAAAAAAGATATGGCACTCCATATTTCATTTTAGAGTTGTGACATAGCAGTATACAGCCAGAAACGAAATAGTCAAAGTGAACATGACTGGTCCGGTCAGATTGGCTGTCTGGTGGCCAAGTATGTTAAGTTTTATATCATAACAAAAACTGACTAATTTTTTGTACATTTGTGCAAATGCAATAACGCTATGACCCATGGCATGCGTATGTGTGTGTGTGTACATTGTGTGTGTGCGCACGCGTCTGTTTGAATATTTCAACTAAATATGCAATTTTCATTATCAAAATTAAAAGTTAAGAGAGCGATGGCTGACTAAAAGAAATTTAATGTGAGAGGCATTTCCCGAACAAGCCATTAATGGTCAATGGTTTTTAGCATGAAATTTGAAAAGAGAGAGCAAGTCAGGTTTACCTTTCTCGAATAATCCTGGCTAAAATTTCTTTAGGCGGTGCTTCAATATCAACCCAAACACGGAAGAAACGCAATGGATGACGATCGGTTGGTTTTTTCGTCGAAATTTCGACACCGTTTATCGAACCTTCAACGATCCAGCCTTTCCAACGTTCACGATGCTCCTGAAAATTAGCAGTTGTTGACCACCTCGCAGCAATGACCAATTTAAATCGCTTTGAACTTAATGGGGTAATTTATCTCATTTTGTTCCTAAAAACCAAAGTTTTCTCTTGAGACAAAATTCCGGTAGTAATGAGATAATCGAAGTGTTCGGACATGCTGTTCCAGGCTCATCTGCCCTAGGCTGCTTGCTTTCCGTTGATGATGACCATGGAATTTACTTAAACTATCAAAATTTGGCACAAACTGAAATCTGTAAAAATTTAAGGATCTTACTTTTAGCAGATCCCTCACTTTTTGTAGCATATACGTTTTATAATTTCCACCATCGGAAGCACCTAATTCGATAAGAAATGG